TCTACTTGTGTGCCAAGTTATACTGAAATCAGACCAAAACTGTAGGAGGAGTAGCGTTTTGAAAGAATTTCACAGAAATTTCTACTTTTAGTAACCACGGCAACACCGTTCATCGAAATCAAAATCCGATAAACAGAATTATGTATCTTAGTGTAGTCTACTTGTGTGCCAAGTTATATTGAAATTAGACCAAAACTGTAGGAGGAGTAGCATTTTGAAAAATTGTTTACAGACAGACAGACAGACGGACGGACGCCGGACGCATTACTATCGCATAAGCTCTTCTGGTCTCTGACCAGTAGAGCTAAAAATGGAACTCGTAAATTTACTTACCTGGTCATTGGTCATTTGCAAAATTATTTTGTTAAAACAGATTCTGATTGCACACACAAGTCTCTGAAGTTGACGTCAACAAGATGCTTGAGTTTCTGATTGACAATGTTTATGTGGTTTTTTGGAGACCAGCAGGCATGCTTATGAAGCTATCTTAGGACGAATTTAGGATATATCTTAGTCCTAAGAGATGCCAACGAAGCTATCCTATCTTTGGAGAGTTCTTAGTATTAGTCCTAACTTTAGGACTACTACGAGCTTGTCCTAAGATATGTCTTAAGAGAGTAAGATGTCCTAAGTTGTAAACAAATATGGCGTATGTTCTGTGGGTGGACAGACAGAGACGGCTTCGAAGACGGGATAGAATATTTAGGGACAGGGACAACCCTTTTGACTAAGAGTCAGATGAACGTATAGTCCTTAAGTACAGACTTTCAAGGCCTTTGATCGTCAGTCTTTGATTGTCAAATGTTCCAACACAACCTTGAACGACCCACAATGAGGTCATCCGCATTCCTTGTATCACTTCAGATCAAGGTAGCTCTGAGGTATTATGCCACAGGAAGTTTTCAATCTGTTATTGGAGATGTCCATAATATATCTCGACAGAGTGTATCATATATCTTACACGATGTAACTGAGTGTCTGAATAATGTGGCTAAACAATACATTTATCACCCATTCTCAATATAAGGGCACAAATGCCTCTCTGATTTTTTAAAAAATGAAGTTCAAGATAACAATTTTTCTATCAATTACCTTTGAAAGAAAGTATCTGAAGATTTTGTTTCCAGTTTTTTTTTCATCAAATTTTAATACATGGAATAATGACAAGACGGTAAAGTAGAGGGTGATTTTATTCGGAAATGTAGCTTGAAATGTACTTTACTCTTTCTTCAATGTCCAAAAAATATGTAAAATAAAATGTAGTCATTAAAATCACAATTGGAATATCTCATCTTAACACCAGCACATCCTACCAACTCTGTCAGCAACATATTTTCTCGGCATACGAACGTGCGTTTGATTTTTCCTTTCAAAAAACAAAGGTGACTTTTTGATCCAGATGTATAAAAACATTTTTTTAAATATATGCTCTAAATTCTTCTCTCTGTTTTGTTTAGAGCGATCAGTTTGGAATCTTGTCATTTTCTATAGATAGTGGAACTTAACATGTACATGTAGTAAAATTTTATTGTCCCCCGCTTGAAAAGTGGGGGATATTAATTTGGGTTTGTCCGTCCGTCCGTCCGTCCGTCCGTCTTTCTGTCTGTCTGTAACGCTTTCGTTTCCACACGATATCTCGAGAACCCTTTGAGCTTTTGCAATGAAATTTAGCATAGCAATTCCCTATGGACTAAAGAAGACCCCTATTGATTTTGAGGTCAAAAGGTCAAAGGCCAAGGTCATAAATAAGCAAATTCTGTCTGTTAAAACACTTTCGTTTCCACACGATATCTCTAGAACCATTTGAGCTATTGCAATGAAATTTTACATAACAACTCCCTGTGGCCTAAAGAAGGCCCCTATTGATTTTGAGGTCAAAAGGTCAAAGTTCAAGGTCGTAAATTTACACATTCTGTCTGTGTGTAACACTATCATTTGCGGGCGATATTTCAAGAAGATTTTGAGCTTATGCAATGTAATTTTATACCAAAACTCCAAAGGACGTCTTTCGCCCCTCTCAAAGTGCCCCGCCCCGTTTGTTTTATTAGTATTTATAGTATTACATGTCGATATTTTTAGCGCAGGGGCATGAGGAGAGTTATTGCGTATAAAACAGGTTCTCGGCGGACTTTATGTTCTTATTACATCTATTCGAACTGTTTAATAAAGGCTAAATAAATCAAACACCATGGATTGTGTAAAATTTTCAGAATACCGAACATGAAAACATGAATATATACATGTATGTGACTTCAGTTCTGCATATACTTCATTCCATGTAAAGCGTCTCCGTGGTCTAGTGGTTATGTCTCTCGCTTCAAGTGTGCGACGACCCGGGATCGAATCTCGGTCGAACCTTTTTTTTTTTTTTTTTAAATACTTTTTTTTTTTTACAAAATGATAGTATTCAGCATGTGAAATGAAAAAATCTATGAGGTTATAAAATCATGATTACAGTGTGATAAATATTCCATATAAAAAAATCTTCTATACACATTAAAGAATAAGCAATCAAATCTTTATATGCATATTGACATACATGTATTTTATTTCCTTCAGTATACATGTATACATTTAATAATTCTACAAATTCAGTCAGGGGGAGCCGACTTTTTCCCTAAGCGGGGGACACGAATTCTCTGAATTAGCTTGTTTTGTAGTTACCGTCTTTTTTAACATATATCCATGCCGATTTAGACAACTAAGTAAATGTAACGTACATTTCAAGATATATTTCTGTTTAATGAAAAGCTTAAAATTCATCTAAAAATTCATCGTTTTGTTTCAGTTTATTCCAAAAAAGATTCTCTATGTAATCACATTGTGTTATATGTCACAATCACCACTATAAAGACACGACTGCCTCAGAATATGAGTAGGTAACGTACATTTCAAGCTTGTAATAATATGTAAATTAGTAATGAGAAAATATTGAAAAAAAGCAATTATTGACATAAAAATCATTTCAATGAAGCGTTTTAAGAAATCATAATGTAACAAACGTGGTTATTTGTCACCAACTACATGAATGTCACGTCACTTCGGTAACGTTCATCTCACATATTACTGGGGAGTCCCCTCCACCTCAGTTCATTTCCATTCTTTTGTGCTGTTTCGCTGAAATTGACACCGGTCGTACCCTAGTTACTTCTACCTGTGTGCAAGGGTACAGACAAAAAAATAAGAGTCAGACGTATTTTGCTATGATCTAACAAATGCTTGTGTTTGGCCATTGAAACTTAACATAAATATATTCCGAATATATCCATCGACAGTCTTGTTAACAATTTCATTTAGTATGTTGCAACATCGTTTGTCAAAACTCAAACATACGTACTTTTCAGCAGTTCTGGAAAAATATAACCCAAAATGCAAGGATTCAAACAAAACTGAGTATTGTGTGCCTTTCAGTATTTGAAATGTACGCGTGACCGTCTTGTGTTCTGGGTTTATTTGTTTTGTTTCTTTTTCTTCTTTTTTTGTTTTGTTTTGTTTTTTTTTTTGTTTTTTTTACCAATTATAATCCTATGCATATCTTGTTTTAAATTATCAACAACAATTGAATTAATATTGACGAAAAGTCGCATATTAAAAGTAAACAAACTGCAAAAAGGTTGCTAAAGATGAATTTAAGACACTTTGAAATAAATTATCTAGCATGTGGTAACAGTCTACCACATTTACGAAGATTGGGGGTGCATTTAGATGGATTTATGTGGTCAGTTGTCAAATGGATTGTAACGATTATTTTGTTTCGCTCGTGTAAACGCAATTCATTGACTAAATAAAAAAAAAATGTCAGTTAGAAATGCGCAAAATGTACGTTACCATACGTAACGTACATTTCAAATATAAAAATCAATTCTCTTCCACAAGCGTACGTTTGACACGCAATATATTGATACTATTTGAACTTGCATATCATAAGAAATGCATCATACAGGTTTCGTATTCAGAAATATATACCAGGTATCAAAATTATATTACGTATAATAGACCTTAATATATTTTTTTCCTCAGCAGAAACGTTTCTTTTAATTAATTTTGGGATTTAGCCGACCTCCAACCTTTGAAACTTTCCTTTGTGTACACATTCGTGTGTGTGAAAGTATGAGAATACATGAAAATTCGTGCGAGATTCACTTAATTCGAATTTCATGGTAACGTACATTTCAGTCACGTACATTTCAAATGAACACTTTTCATGTAAAAAATAATTTTTAATTGTGTTAAGCAAAATATCTTTGCCACTTTACAGGATACAAGGGGTTGCTTATTCAGAGTCGTCTCATATTTTCTACTTAATATATATTCTTAATGGAAGAATATAGGTAACGTACATTTCTTTCTTATCTCTACGATTGAAAATGTCTTTTATTCCGTAAACATAATTATAAAAGTTGCTCAAATTGTTCAATTTCATGTTACATTATCTAAGTAGGAGTAATTAATCCTTTGAAATTTCAAATTTAGCCCATCAATAAATAAAGGAGAACAAAACTATTAGGTGTATAATCTTTGTGTTTGCTTGTAATGTGGTTGAAATAGAATATTAAGCGACAGGGACATTGCACAATAAAAATTATTTATTATCACAAAGAAAATGTATTTATTGTTATGAAAAGAAATATATATGATACAAGGTTTAACTTATCAGAAAATTTTTACTTGAGAATCAAAACTATATATTACACAGAGGGGATTCAGCATAATATTTGCCTCAGCGACAGTAACGTACATTTCAAATAGGCTACTATATTTGAATTTGGAACTCCTTCAATACCCTTTCAGATCGATAATTATATGAATTCTTATTCATTGTTATATGACTATTTATAATGTTAATTTAAAAATTACATCAGTGGTATTTCTTCTAAATGAAAACGAGGCGACATTATTTGAGCCCTTATATTGAGAATGGGTGTAATATGCCTACAAATCAAGATGAACTTCATAAAATAAAAAGAGATTTTCATGATATTGCACAATTCCCCAACACGATGGGTGCAATAGATGGTACTCACATAAGAATAAAGTCGCCAACTGTTGATGAACACCTGTATGTGAACCGGAAAAATTTCCATTCAATAAATATACAAGGTGTGTGTGATGCCAGACTGAAGTTTTTAAATATTGTTGCAAAGTGGCCTGGTAGTACCCACGATTCCTTTATTTGGAATAATTGTGCTTCAAAGGAAATTTTTGTAAATAGTACAATTCCTGATGGATGGTTACTGGGTGATAGTGCGTACCCTTTGAGGCCGTGGCCACTAACACCCGTATTCAATCCGAGCACCCCTTCTGAAGGCAGGTATAATGATTCTCACACAAGAACCCGTAATACCATCGAACGTGCCTTTGGAGTGCTAAAATCTCGGTTTCGATGTGTTGACACAAGTGGTGGAACACTTCTCTATACCCCAAAGAAAACCTGCAAAATTGCAATAGCTACAACAGTACTCCACAACATGTGTATCAATTCCAATGTTCCCTTACCCGAGGGCTGTAATCCGGTAGACAATGGCCAAATACGTGTACAATATGTGGGACGTCAGCTAAATGACGGAGCCAGAGTTAGGGAGAGATTAATAAACGGACGTTTTTCAAGTTGATTTTTTGTGATGTTTACATTCAACCATTTTTCATTAAATTCATGATACACAAGATTGATGCAATGTTTGCAAATATCCCACATACATGTAAATTTTAATTACTACATATGGTTAATGTAGTTTTATGATCCTCTGTTTTATACAATTTTACATGCTTCTGTGTGAAAAGATAATAGCAGTGTAGCATCAACAGTCAATGGATTTTTTTTTATTTATTACAATATCTTCAGGTAGCCTACATTTTACATTTTAAAGGCGTATTCACTTGCATGTTGATTGGTCGAACGAAACTCCTCTTTGTGCAAGACAAACTTGATGCCGCTGCTGTTCTATTGTAAATCTCTGTTCTTCTATTGCTAGCCGTTTCCTTTCTATCTCGAGTCTCTCTCTTTCCAATTCCAGTCTCTGCTTTTGAATTTCAAGTTTTTCGGACTCGATATCAAATACTCTCTCATCAAATGCTTCATGTAAGGAGCGACGGGCTTTCTTCATAGGGTGACTTTCTGTTGGAGGGGGTACATCGTGTTGTATTGCTTAAAGTAAAAGAGGGAAAAAATGAACTTAAATATCCCCACGTTTCTATTAATTAAATCGACTTTTAAATGTGCCTGATATTTATTTGCAATTCGGAAATAAATCGGTTATTATTAAATCTGTGATATCTATGAAACACAATTAATTTAAATTGTGATATTTACAGGAAAGTCCTATCTTTTTATAAAGTAACAAAACAAGTAGAAAGATGTTTTTAATTTTAGTAAGTCTGAACTTATCAGAAATACGCCATATATCACTTTAATTATTTGGGTGTGTGTGTGGAGGGGGATACAACTATACATTTTCAGGTGGGGGCACTATCAACCACCAAAAATTCCTTGACAAGCTTTTAAATATTGTAATTTATCAAACGTTATCATAAAAAAGTTGTAAAATTTTAATTAAAAATCACATCCTCTACATCAAAATATAAAATTGTAAAAAAAAAAAATTTCATATGATACACTTACATAAAGAATGTTCACATTCAGTTTCACTCCCTTTAGCGGTGCTGCATTCTGCTGTATCAATACCACCTTCAATGCCCTCAATGGAGGCATCCCCCAAAATCCCTGATACTTTCTCCTGAAGTGGTGTTAGGTCCGTGCATGTAGAAGGTGCTTTCCCTCCTCCGGTCCTAGTAGACTCTCTGCGGTTTTGTGCGATTTTCTTTTTTGTGTCACTTGTGTAAGACGAGAATTTTTTTCTTATTTCTTCTACTGTTCTGACGTGATCGCTTGAGTTGCAAGCATTCACTTTTTCACATACAAGCGCGTTTTTTGTTATTATTTGAAACCAAGTTAGAGAGTTTCGAAAACAATCACTGTTATATTCTTTTCCACCTCATCAAGAAGAATTTGCAGTTCAATTTCCGAAAAGTTTGGGTTTCTTTTACGGCTCATGTCTGACACGTGCGAATTATTTCCGAATGCTGTTCTTCTCATGTATAGTGGAATACATTGTATCTAATAACAATAGGGACTCCCAAAAGATCTATTCAAAACGGACCGGTTCCAACATAGCTCGGACACGACTGAATAAGCAGTGGCTTCTCTTGTATAATCCCATGTTTCGTGTTTTTTTTTTTACTCTGTATTAATTTTGTTTATTAATGAAATCAATTTCAATATACATTGCGGCATGAAAGTATGAAATATGTATTGGGAAATATCTTAAGATTCATTAATACGTTTGCAGGCGTGGATTCAGCCAATAAACCCCCCCCCCCCCTCCCCCAACCCCCGAAAGAGATTTCCGTTGATTAACTGAGTATGAAAAAAAGAAATACAGAAATTTATGTTGTGAAATAGTTGTCCTCTATCTATATTTGAGGCTGATAAAATATAGATTTTATTTTAATGTATATTTAAAAGAAAATGTTCAAATTTCATAACGAAGGTATTTCTTTCTCTCATCCCCTTTCAAAAGTTTAATTTTTGTACAGTGATGAGAATATGTATGAATATCATAAAAAATTAACACAAACATTGTACCCATTGAATCTGTGAATGTATGTAGATGCCTGTACAAATCTAAATTCTTTTAAGAACTAAGGAGGAACTTACTCTACAACCCCCCCCTCTCCATTACATACATATGTATATTATTATGGAAACTTAAAATAAAAACTTCCTGCAGTGATTGTTTTACAACAAAAGAAAATGGCTAAAATGGCATTTACGACATCTTTACTTGGTATATTCCTAAGATGCTTTCGTTTTACACCCTAAGACGTATCTTAAGATATTCTTAAGATATGTCCTAAGAAATATCCTAAGACACGCCTTAAGACACATCTTAGGAAATTTTCGTAAGCATGCCTGCAGGTCTTCCAACAATCTATTGGAATTCCCATGGATACCAATTGCGCTCCTATTCTGTATTCATATGAAGCAGAATTTATGCAAAATCCTATGCGTGAAAAGAAGAAAACGCTTGCTTTGGCCTTCAACTCGACTTTCAGATATATTGACGACGTATTGTCAATTACCAATGGTAATTTCCATTCCTACGTCGATACGATATATCCAGGAGAGCTTGAGATAAAAGATACCACAGACTCTGACACATCTGTTTCATACTTGGAAATTTTACTTGGAAAAGACGTTAATGGTAACCTAACAACCAAGCTATATGAAAAACGTAACGACTTTAACTTTTTTATCGTCAACTTCCCTTACTTATGCGGCAATATACCTTCATCACCTGCATACGGAGTATGTATATCTCAGCTGATTCGATGCGCAAGAGCATGCTCTACGTATGAACAATTTCTACAACGAGGTAAATTATTAACAAGCAAGTTAATGAAACAAGAATATCAGCAATCTCGTTTAAAGTCATCATTTCGTAAGTTCTATGGTCGATACAATGACATTGTCAGCAAATACAATTTATCATTGAGTCAAATGCTGACTGACGTTTCTCATACTAATTGTTAGTCCATTATTTATACACAGAATTGACGACGGATTTTTTCGTTATTTCACGATCATGACAAGGAGCACACGGCGGGTGTGACCGGTCAGCAGGGGATGCTCACTCTTCCATGGCACCTGATCTCACCTCTGATGTTAAATCGAACAGTCATCTTCTGAATCAATATGGCGTCGAAACGAACTTTACTTAGCGCTGCAATAATTATTATTACTGAAGATGAAGATTTCGACATTCCAGATGAGGATTTTTCATTTGTCACACTGTGTGCAGCTTGCAATAATATGTAAATAGCAGTTATCGAGCTTTTTTTGACACTGCATGCTATTTTATTCACATATTATCGTAACTGTTTTTGTTTTCATTAAGGTTTAATTTTAAAACACAGGTTATGAGATAACATACGCAATATTATGAATCATTTGTCTGAACCTTATGTTAATATCTGATTTGAATTAAAAATAATTCCACATTATAAGACCTAGCTGTCACCATAGCACCTAGTATTAAATTAATTCTGTTCTATCACATGATTTCCTTAAAAAAATATTTCATGCTATTCAACTGAATTTAACAACAAACCGATATGCAAATAATTTTTTTTTACTGTTTTCAGACAGGAGCGAAGAAAACGATATAAAGTGGGACGCTTTGTACAAGACGTTGTTTCAAGTCAAGATATTCCCTCGACACTTTCAAGACCTTCTTTCGTGTTTCCAAAAATACATTTGAAGCTATTTTGGAAAATATTCAGCATATTCCAGAACTACTACTAAGAGAACCAGCAGCTGGAAGACCTCAAATTTCCCATGAAAAAGATTTAATGATGATGCTGTGGTATTTAGGATCACAAGAAACAATACGGTCTATTGCAGATCGATTCAATCTTTCTGAGTCTACATTCCATTCCCACAACAGAAGGATGTTAGACGTTTTTCAAAAATACTTTCTTCAAAAGTTTGTGATTTGGCCAAATGATGTGCAGACTGTAAATGATGGATTTGAGCTAAAAAAGAACTTCCCTGGTGTGATTGGAGCAATAGATTCAACACATATACGTATAAAACCCCCTAGTGGACACTCAAATGATTATTTCAATAGGAAAAAATTTCATTCAGTCATTCTCCAAGCAGTGTGCAGAGAAGATAAACGATTCACAGACCTTTTCTGCGGATGACCGGGCCGAGTGCATGATGCTCGTGTTTTTCAAAATTCTCCATTGAAGCAAAGAGGCCCAATTCTTTGTCGTCAGTGCCATCTACTAGGTGATGGGGCATATCCTTGCAAGCGGTGGCTAATTACTCCATACCGAAATAGAGGCAATCCTACTAGGGATCAGATTAAGTTCAATCAAATTTTATCAAGCACCAGAGTAATCATTGAAAATTCATTCGGATTATTGAAAGGTAGATTTCGGAGACTATAATTTGTTGAAATGAATGACATTTCTTATGTTGTCAAGGCTGTCGTAACAGCTTGCATTCTACAGAACATTTGTATCCTAAACCAAGATGAACTTGACGAGCATTTTGACAATGACCCTCAACAGGTTCCATTAATTCATCCATTGTGTGAAAATGATGCAGAAGGTCAATTAAAGAGACAATTACTAACACGGCAATTGGCCAATACTTAAACTCTGCATTTTCTTTTAAAATATTCTTAAAAATGTACCATGTCAAAGACTTCAGTTTGACAATGAATATTTGGTATAGAAACCAAAGTTGTCATCTTTTAAAATAAAGCAAAGAATACCTGATTCATGTATAAAAAACGGTTTTATTGTATCAAAATGAATGAAAAACAATCATCTTCTTGATGCTTATAATCATATAAATATAAACAAAATCACAAAGAGATCAATATACTAGTAATGGAAAAACAAATCACATATTGCCTTAATTAGCATTAAAAAAAATAAGAACATCACTTGAAACTCACATACATAAATGAGAAGTGTCCACATAATGCAGCTAAACTTCTATTTCATAGATGAAATAAAACATTTTCCAAATATGGTTTCTGAAAGAAAAAAATGCAGAAACCTTATGTAAAATAAAAAGAAATTCTTGACTAGACCATTTACTGAACTTAATACAGCAATTAAAAAACCCACTCAAGGGCATGTACATGTAACAATAAATTCACACTCCCCTTTTAAAGACCTCTTCGAGTACTTGTTCTGAAGAAAATCTGCTACCAATGAGGAGTCTTCAATATCTCAAAATAGATCAATGGGTTGAACAATTGTTATCAATAAGGCAACAAAGAGTAAAAGACTCTGTCGTATATCAGGTATCTCTTGGGTACAAAATCAACAATTTCATGTCCAAAACTGCACCTTAAAGCATGTTCATTCAGAACATTTGCCCATTTTTCATATTAATCTCCAGACGGAGTCACACTAATAGCCCTGATACACTTAAGATTTTCTATCAAAACTAGAAATGTTTCTGGCCTCATCTCTTCAGAATTCCGAATTTGTAGATACTTAAGTGTATCCCCTATCTCCTTGGATAATGACAACAGACCTTCCTCACTCAAGTTTGGTAAACTACTTATGAAGAGTTTCTCCATACATTTGCACTTTGATAAATTTTTAACAATGTTTTCATAGCAAATGCTTTCATTTTTGGAACCCCTGACATCCAAATATCTCAATTTTTTTAAACTACCCAAAACATTACAATCCTGCAGAAGTGTTGCATCAATGGTAAGATTAACACAATTTTTAAAAAGTTTCAAAAATTCTACAGTAAATATCTCTTTCATTCCCTTATCGAAAAAATTCAGGTAAGTTATTGAGTTCCATACAAGACCACTCTTAAAAAGACAATTCGTGGATCTGCAAACTTTAGATACATAATGGTACAATTCTGGAATTGGAATGTATGTCAATATTTTGCATGTTATTTCTGGAGGCAAGTGGCATAAATATGCATATCCTGTAAAAAAAAAAAATAAACACATAAAATTGTTAGTGAATTCAAAACAGCTGTTCTATTATAGAAAAATTTTAAGTTTTTGAATGGAAAGACAATTACAAGTAAATCACTTAAAAATACAGCAAGTTTAGAAAATCAACATGAAATACCATTTGAAAAAAGTATGAGGGAAAAGGGCCATACAAAACATAAGCAAGTGAAAACATTACATCAGAATTCATGGGCCTACATGCATATGCATATCTAAGAGATTTGAAGAATTTAATCTTTCATGTTCTTTAAAACTTAAAGAAAACCACTAAAAATTTCCATTTTTTCTTTATGCATTTTTTCATTTTTTTTTCATATTTTCTTCATTTTTCTTATTTTGATTTTCCACATAATCTTCCAAAAATGGATTACTTGAGAAGAATTAGATCTGGAAGAAGACATTTTTCTTTTCTTTTTGGGCTGGGGATCAGTGATACCTGGCTCACCAGAGCCTGAGCTTGTGCTGGACTCTTCCTGATATCCAGTTACACTTCCACTATTTGAGCTTGATGGAGAGGTTAAGGATCCCACAACACACTTAGGATGGATGTCATGCCTGTCACTTACAATGTCATTGAATTCCTCTTCGTAGAGAAAATTTTTTCGCTCATTGCCCGACTTTGCTTGATCTGACTGATAGCGTTTGAATGCAGTGAGTTGTGTCTTCCACCTCCCTTCAACTTGCGCAACTGAAAAATCAGTTTTAAAACTGTTGTTTAGTTCATCTGTAATTTCTGACCACAATGCCTTTTTTTTGTGCGTGGGCGATAAAAACTTTTCTTTCCTTTCCTTGTAGCCTGTAATTATGAACACAGTTTGTTCATATGTAAAAATGCCATTGGGAATTGCTAACTGCTTTGGTGAATTCTCAGGTGTTTGTGGAACAGATGGAATGTCTACAAAAAAAAAGACAAGAGAAAATTCAATAAAATGCAAAAATAATATCAAACACTAACAGACACTAACAGACATAACTTGGTCGACTTTTGATAGTTATGGAGGATCAATATGGTATTAGAAGTTTGGTAGAAGTTTGGTAGAAGTTTGGTAGAAGTAATCAAAACAAAGAACTGGGAACAGCTTATCCAGGGAGTCATGGTTGTTGCAGGGTATGGAAACAATACAGTTAATATACAATCCTTGTCACTCAAGATCGGACACAGTCTTACCAAATGTGCACAGATCCTTCGAGCACAAGTCCTTATAGAGGGTAATGATAACTGATAAGAAACTAAAGGAAATGGATCGTTTCCTTCAACTATACAAGGATGAGTGGGAATACAGAGAATCATCGCATGCCCTTAGTGCCCTTCACAAAGCAAAGTTCAACAAACTTATGTATGTGCCTCTAGCTGAGGATGTGATTTTATTGAACAAATATTTAAAGCAAGAAGCTAACAGTATCTGTTCCCATCTATCTGAAAAGGAAGATTTAGCCACAAATTACAACTTAGAAATCCTTTAAACACAGATCATCCTTTTTATAGGAAGAGGAGTGGGGAAGCGCAAAGAATCAAAATACAAGACCTGGAGAATGGCCTTCAAAACAATCGTGTAGATGAAGACATTAAGAAAAGCCTATCAAGTTTTGAACAAGAACTCTGCTCAACCCACACAAGAACTGAAATCATAGGAAAGAAGGGAAGAAAGGTTCCTGTGATTTTGACAGATGAGATGCAGAAACACCTCTCCACAGTTTTACATATTAGAGATGAGCTGGGAATCAAATCACCTTTCATATTTATCAAGCCACAGTCATCCTGTCCCATAAGAGGAAGTGATTGTCTACAAAAATTTTCAAACGCCTGTGGAGCTAAATGCCCAGAAACTCTTACTTCCACAATGTTAAGAAAGCATTTGGCAACAATGATTCAAATTTTAGGACACTCAGAAACAAATCTGGAAATATTGGCCAAATTAATGGGACACGATATTAGAATACATCGCGAACTTTATCGACTACCAGAAAATACTGTAGAACTTGCAAAAGTCACAAAAATAATGCACCTTAATAACACTGGGAATATTTCCAAATACAAAGATTTTGATGACATAGAATTTCGCTAGACAGGTAATAATTATTACAATTATCTTTATTAAAAGCTTATTAAATATGCTTGTATTGAATACAAATGCATAGTAACCCATTTTCAATCTTTGTTAATTCAAGATGAAGTTCATGAAAAGATGAATTGGATGCCGAGAAGGAAGAAGACATCTCTGAAATGCAAGGTAATTTTGTAACTGAATTATTTCATTTTAAAGGAATGTTGAGAGAGAAATCATTTTGTAAACTGAAAGCTCATATTCTTACTTCATGTAGCTACATCTGGACAATACACATCAGAGCAGGAGCAATTTGAACATGATGACAAAGAAAATGACTGAGAATTTCAAAAGGAAGAAAAGACAGGTAATATGACAGTGAATTATTTAAAAATAATAATACATGTAATACTTGTTACATTCTACATTAGTTACATTCTACATTATTAACAATCAAACCAACCCACTCCTCAATTTACAAAATACCCGAAAGAGCAGCAGTTCTTGCTGAAATTTAATTTTGGTCAGTTGTTTCATTGTCCTTCAAGGTTTTAGTACACATGAGTTTTGCTGATCACATTTCGTCCTGTAATTTTTTCACATTTTCAACTTCTTCTCAAGTTTCAACCAAACTTGTCATAAAACATTCTTGGGTGAAGGGGATTCAAGTTTGTTTAAATAAAGGACCACACCTTCTTGCAAGGGGTGATGATTTTCCAACAGTGGTAAGCTTTCCATTGCATCACAACGAAGAACCCACTCCCACCTGGAGAAAGACATGTCAAAATTAATGGCTAAAAGGGAGGATGTTTTTCTTTGGAATGCCAAGTGCCTAAAAGAAATGCTAGGTAAAAATTACCACCATTACAACTAACAGGTGAATGTATGTAATCTAACCGGACTTTACAAAGGGGTTTTTGTTTTTTGCCAACATTGACATCATAGTTTAAAAAAACTCTGCCGAGGGAATTCCTGCATCCGAGTCTCTACCTCTTGATACTGAGGACTGACCCAAGATGACATTGTTCATGGTGCACCGGGAGGATGCATAGGTGGGAGTTTTAGTGTTTCCATTTTGTAATCCCCGGACCTGACATCTGTATTCAATGAAATCTGAATAATAACGAGATGGGTATATTCCAAATCCTGGAAATATCTATCGATGTTCATTGGTAATTTCCATAAAGCTTGAAATCAGAACAACCATATATATCATTTATGAATTCTAAATTTGGATTTATTTTGCTGTCACCTGATTAACCACCCTCGTCTCTCAAGGATCTGAACTAATGTCTAATAGACAGTAGTGTGCCTAACCGAAAATCATATATGTTTGTGATTGGATTGATTGACTGAATATTGTTTTACGTCCCTCTCAAGAATTGGTCACTCTTATTATTAAAGACGCCACCACTTGCCGGTGGAGGGCTGCAAAATTTTTAGCTCACCTGAGCCGAAGGCTCAAGTGAGCTTTTCTGATCACTTTTTGTCCGTCGTCCGTCTGTCTGTCAGTCTGTAACATTTTCGACTTCTACTCAAGAACCACTGCGCCAATTTTGACCAAACTTGGTACAAAGCATCCTTATGTAAAGGGAAATTTAAATTGTGAAAATAATGGGCCAAGTCCCCTCACAAGGGGAGATAATCAAGAAAAGACAAAAATGGGGTGGGGTCATTAAAAGATCTTATTCTCAAGAACCACTGGGCCAGAAAAGCTGAAACTTATGTGGAAGCATCCTGGGGTAGTGTAAATTCTAAATTGTTCAAATCATGACCCCCGGTGGAAGGGCGGAGCCACAATTGGGAATCAAAGTTTTACATAGAAATATATAGGAAAAATCTTTGAAAATCTTCTTCTCAAGAACCACTGGGCCAGAAAAGCTGAAACTTATGTGGAAGCATCCTGGGGTAGTGTAGATTCTAAATTGTTCAAATCATGACCCCCGGGGGAAGGGTGGGGCCACAAAGGGGAATCAAAGTTTTACATGGATATATATAGGAAAAATCTTTGAAAATCTTCTAAAGAACCACTGGGCCAGAAAAGCTGAAACTTATGAAGAAGCATCCTGGGATAGTGTAGATTCTGAATTGTTCAAATCCAGAACCCCGGGGGTAGGACGGGGCCACAATGGGGAATCAAAGTTTTACATAGATATAGGAAAATTCTTTGAAAAGCTTCTTCTCAAGAACCACTGGGCCAGAAAAGCTGAAACTTATGTGGAAGCATCCTGGGGTGGTGTAAATTCTAAATTGTTCAAATCATGACCCCCGGTGGAAGGGTGGAGCCACAATTGGGAATCAAAGTTTTACATAGAAATATATAGGAAAAATCTTTGAAAATCTTCTTCTCAAGAACCACTGGGCCAGAAAAGCTGAAACTTATGTGGAAGCATCCTGGGGTAGTGTAGATTCTAAATTGTTCAAATCATGACCCCCGGGGGAAGGGTGGGGCCACAAAGGGGAATCAAAGTTTTACATGGATATATATAGGAAAAATCTTTGAAAATCTTCTTCTCAAGAACCACTGGGCCAGAAAAGCTGAAACTTATGTGGAAGCATCCTGGGATAGTGTAGATTCTGAATTGTTCAAATGATGACCCCCGGGGGTAGGACGGGGCCACAATGGGGAATCAAAGTTTTACATAGATATAGGAAAATTCTTTGAAAATCTTCTTCTCAAGAACCACTGGGCCAGAAAAGCTGAAACTTATGTGGAAGTATCCTGGGATAGTGTAGATTCTTAATTTTTCAAATCATGACCGCCGGGGGAAGGGCGGAGCCACAATTGGGAATCAAAGTTTTACATAGAAATATATAGGAAAAATCTTTGAAAATCTTCTCAAGAACCACTGGGCCAGAAAAGCTGAAACTTAGGTGCACATGGAATTATCCTGGGGTAGCGTAGATTTCAAAATGTCTAAATTATGATCAGTGGGGTAGGGTGAGGATGCATTATGTATTACAAGGGGGAAATCTGGTAAAGAACAGAATGGTCAAAGCTTTTCAGGTGACCGATGTGGCCCATGGGTCTCTTGTTCCTTTACTCGGCACTCAGGGCCATTGAGCAGTGAGGGATCTTTTTCGTGCCAGCACCTAATCCGACACATGAATTCAATGTATACGGTTTAATCCGAAGGACCGATCTCCACGTCCCACATTGGGATTCAGGTCCGCGACGTAAGCATCAACTCCTTCGCAACTCCAGAGCAGTCGATCTTACCATTGCGCCACGCGGGCGACGCTTGTGATTGGAAATTAATCTATCTCTTAAGTGGATATAAGAAGACTAGTGTGCTCTTGTAAATGAACTGCTCCATTTAACTCCTGTCGTTTTCGTAATGACTTTCGACCCCCCTCCCCCTCATCAATTAAAATTTAATGAAGCATGATGGAATCCAGAACTTCGCTCAAATGGTTACGCATTTATATACCGAGTCAAGGTTCAAATAAGATATGGTTATTGTGTGGTTTATTCTTCTGGAATTAGTTTTTTTTTCATCTAAGTTTTCTGCTGCAATCCATTGGCTTAAAGTTATGATAATAAAACCTTTTTAGTTTTCTGGAATGGAAAGACTCAATGCCTCTGCTTAAAATTGCATTTCTTATATTTTCGATGGTAGGGAAACCGTCTTGAGAATGTGAAATCTATCTTCATTGTTGGGTTGACTACATCCAAAATGCTGAAATTTTTTGTCTGCCTTCTTCAACATACACGAAATGCACTTCATAAAGTCTCTATTCGTCGTTCCACCATCTTGGAGTGTGTATGGTACTTTGAATTTCTGGGTTTGTAATTCACATATTTTGTCATTATATATGATGGAATGTATTTCACTTGCTGTTATCTCTTCTGTAGGATAGTGTGCAACAGGGAATCTAAATCCAGTGAATCCTAAGTAGGACGCTTGGAACACTTCATTAGGTAATGCACGTTCTATAAACTGAGATTTTGTTACTCTGATATTATTTCTCCCCTTCCCCTGTGTATATTCAACCAATCAACTCTGCTTATTTCCCTTACAATTCATAACCAAATCATGTTGGACTCGTG